TAAGCAAGTACAAAGACAAATTATAGACTCTGGGAACATATTTGAAAATCACATGTATGGTAAATAACTTGTATCCGGAATATGTAAAGAACGCAGCACTTGCATGTGAAGTTACCAGTCCTCTTCAGAATGGGCAAAATATTTAAATAGCCAATTCACTGTAGAAGTTACACGAATAGCTAATAAGCATATGAAAAAATGCTTAGTATCATTACTCATTAGGGAAATGGAAATTAAAACCGCAATGTGATGCTATTTGACACCCACTAAAATGGGTTAAAAAAAAATTCAGAAAATAAGTATGTTCAAGGAGAAACAGGAATTCTGTATTGCTGGTGGGAATCTGAAAGGATATAGCTCCAATAGAAGGTAGTTTGGCAGTTTTTAAAAAAGTTATGCTAAAACATATTTACCATATGATCTAGCTAATTCACATACATGTATCTACCTAACAGAAATATGCAGATTGTTTAAACACTTCAGCTAAAAGACAGAGATTATCAGGTGGGGCGGAAAAGCAAGAGCCGGCTATAAAGTCGGCTGTCCATATCTGTGGCTACTGTCGGCTGACCTATCTGTAATGTTTTTTTTTTTTTTTTTTTTTTTTGAGACGGAATCTCGCTCTGTCACCCAGGCTGGAGTGCAGTGGCGCGGTCGGCTCACGGCAGTCTCTGCCTCCCAGGTTCAAGTGATTCTCCTGCCTCAGCCTCCTGAGTAGCTGGGATTACAGGCGACTGCCAGCAAGTTTTGTGTTTATAGTAGAGATGGAGTTTCACCATGTTGTCCAGGCTGGTCTAGAGCTCCAGACCTCAGATGATCCACCCACCTCAGCCTCCCAAAGTGCTGGGATTACAAGCGTGAGCCACCATGCCCGGCCATACCTGTGGGTTGTATCTGAGTGTTCAACCAACCACAAATCAAAATATTTGGAAGGAAAGAAACAATGAAAAATAACAATACAACAATAAAAATAGAAATAAAAAGCAATCCAGCATAACAACTATTTACATAGCATTTACATTGCATTAGGTCTTATAAGTAACCTAAAGATGATTGAAACTATTCAAGAGGATATGTGTCAGTTTTCTGTAGATATTACACCATTTCATATAAGGGATTGAGCATCCTAGGGTTTTGGGATCTGAGACGGGTCCTGGAACCCATGGCTTGTATACCAAGGGATGACTCTGTTGTGAACTAGAAACTTACTTTAAATATGAAGATATAAATCCTTAAAGGTAAAAAGATAGGCAAAGATAATACTGTGTAAGCACTAACCAAAAGAAACCTGCAATGATTTGATTAATATCTGACGAAATAGAATTAACAAAGATTATGAACAGGCATTAAAAAGGTACATTTTGTAAAGACCATGGGGTCATTTCATCAGGCAAGCACAACACTGTTCTTAAATGTTCATGTACTTAACAGAGCAGTAAAATATATAACGAAAACCGAATTGAAAAGAGAAATGGATTTACAGTTATAGTTAACGGTTTCAACATTCCTCTCTCAGTAATTTATAGAAAAAATAGACAGAAAATCAGTAAGGACAGAGAAAAATCTAACCAGCACTATTAACAACTCGCCCCAGTTGACACTTCCGAATCAGTGTATCCAACAGCAGGGTACACGCTCCCTTTAAGTGCACGTGAACTACTCAAAACAATAGATCGTATTCTAGGCAATAAAACTCATATCAGCAAAGCTTCAAAGAATTGAGTTATTCAAAATATGTCCTGACCATCAAAGAATTAGAGTAATAACAGAAGGATAACTGGAAATCTCCAAGTATTTGGAAATGAAGCAACACATGTCGCAGTGACTCATAGGTCAAGGAAGAAATCTCAAGGGAAATGAGAAAATCATTAGAATAGAATGAAAATGAAAATAGAATGTGTCAGTATTTGTGAGATACAGTTAAATCAATGCCTAGAGGGAACTGTATAATTTTAATTGGTTGCATTAGAAATAATTTAAATTCATTGATCCAACTTAAGTTAGAAAAGAAGCAATGAGATAATACAATGTGTGTCGAAGGATAGACATGCAGATCAATGTAACAGGATGGTCCAGAGATAGACCTGCATGTATCTAGTGCTGAACCGACAAATGTGCTGAGATAATTTAATGGAGAAAAGAGAAAGAAGGGCGTCTTTTCAGCAAGTAATACCACAACAAGTAAATATTATAAGAAAAAGAACTTTGATTTCTATCTTGTACTCTACCCAAAAATTAACCTGAGATGGATATTAGACCATTTGTTTACACAAAAGCTAAAACTTTAAAACTTCTACAGGAAAGTATAGCTTGTAATCTTCATGACCTTGAGGCATGAAAAACTTCTTAGCACATACTGTTCATCAAAGAAATGTCAATACATTGGAACTCATCAAGGAAATACCTCTGCTCTTAGAAGGACCCCTTGAAGAAAATGAAGAGCTGAGGTGCTAACTGGGAGAAAATCTGAGCATCACATAAATCTGACATCATGCTTATTTCTGGAGTATGTAAAGAAGTTGTACAACTGAATAATAAGACAACTCAATTAAAAGGTAGACAAAAGATTTGTCTACACACCGCCAAAAGGAAGAGAGAATTCCAATAATCATGTACAAACATGCTCAACATCATTATTCATTAGGGAAATGCAAATTAAAATACAAAGTATAATAAGATACTACCACACACCCAACGGAGTGGCTAAATTTTTTTTTTTTTTTTTTTTGAGACAGGGTCTCTTCGTCGCTAGGGCTGGAGTGCAGTGGCAAGATCTCAGCTCTGTGCAGTCTCTGCCTCTGGGGTTCAAGGATTCTCCTGCCTCAGCCTCCCAAGTGGCTGGCATTACAGGCGCCCACCATACTACATCCAGCTATTTTTTGGTATTTTTAATAGAGACTGGAGTTTTGCCTCGTGATTCGCCTGCCTCAGCCTCCCAGAGTGGTGGGATTACAGGCATAAGCCACCGCGCACAGTCCTAAAATGTAAAGACTTACAACCCAAGTGTTGACAAGGACGAGGAGCAGCTGAAACTATCACATGTTGCTGGTGGGATCGTAAAATGGTGCCACCGGTTTGTGATACCGTCCGTCAGGTTTTCATCATGTTAAATATGATTTTCCATATGACCAACAATTTCACTGCCTGGCATTTACCTGTGAAAAATCAAAACAAAAGCACCTTTGTTTCTAGTAGCCCCAGATGGGAAACAACCCAAATGTCTGTCAACAGATGGCCGAGTAAACAGATTATGGAATATTCATACAATACCATGCTATTTGGCATTAGAAAGGAACAAAATACTTATGCACATAGCAATATGGATGGAGCTGCCTTATATCAAACAAAAGAAGCCAGCCACAACAGACAACATATTGTATAATTTGATTTTATATAACATTCTAGAACTGGAACATGCAATCTATGTTAACAGAAAGCAGATCAACAGTTGCCTGGATTCTAGAACACAGGAAGGTTGATTGTAAAGGGGTGCTTTTTGGGGCAATGGAAATATCCTGTATCTTAACATAGTAGTTACATAGGTGTATATGTTTGTCAGAAGCACATTTAACAGCATACTTTTTTTTTTTTTTTTGAAATGGAGTCTCGTTCTGTCCCTTAAGCCGTGGCATGATCTCGGCTCACTGCAACCTCTGCCTCCCAGGTTCAAGAGATTCTCCTGCCGCAGCTAGTAGCTAGGACTACAGACACCTGCCACTATACCCAGCTAATTTTTGTATTTTTAGTAGAGATGGGATTTTACAAGTGTTGTCCAGGCTGGTCTCGAACTCCTGACCTCAGGTGATCCATTTGCCTTGGCCTCCCAAAGTGCTGAGATTATAGATGTAAGCCACCTTGCCTGGCTAGCAATATACTTTAAGTATGCATTTAATTATATATAAATTATGCTTTAATTTGTTTTAAAAAGTAAAAAAAAAAAAATGCTAAGTTATTGTTAACTGTCACCATGAGTGGATGATAGAGATTCAGTTTTCTACGTTTTCCATTTGGATGATCACTTTCGGGGTTCATTTACTGAATTATCCATCCTTTCCCCCATTTTTCTGGCCTACTTCTATTATATGTCAGATCGAATGTATGTGTGACTCAGTTTCTTCACTCTCTTCTATTTCCTGGTTTATCCTGTCTTTATTATTTTAACTTCATAATAAGCCCAAGTATCTTTATTCTCTTTCTTCAGAAGGGTTTTGGCTATTCTTGATCCTGTATTTTTTGTATAAATTTTAAAGCTTACTTATTTCTAGGTTCTAAGAAAAACCCTATTGGAATGTTGATGGGGATGATATTGATTTCATAGATAAATTTGGATAGACTTTGAACTTTTACAGCACTAAATTTCTCTGTTTTTAACTGTGGTATATCTTCCTATTCAGGTCCTCTTTAATTTCTCCCAATACAATTTGTAATTTTCCCCATAAAGTTCTTGCACATATTTTGAAAGAATAATTTCAAAGTATTTGATGTTTTTATTTTGTGGCAAGCTAAATCTTTTTAATTATTTTTTGGTGCTTTATTGTTGGCGTACAGAAATATGATTTTTAAAAATCTTAATCTATCTAGGGAACGTTTGCTCTTGCTTTAGAAAGAAGCCCAGTTTTGGAGTAGCAGAATCCTGTGGTCGGGAGGCACACGCATGTGTGGTGTGTGCAGTGCATGTAGGGTGCGTGTTGTGTGCACGTGTCGGTGCGTGCGGACACCTTTGTGAGTATTTTGGAGAGCAGATACATTGAGCGTGGGTTTTCAAATCCCTTATTTTCTGCAGTTGAGTTTCTATGAGTAAGGTTGGCCCTGTGTCGCAGGAGGGGATGGTGGCTAAGGCTCTGGCGTTTCCAGCTTTTAGGCTAGTCTGCATTTCGTGTAGGAAGGGTACCTTGTAAAGCTGGTATCTTTGAGTCAAGACACCCATATCTCTTTCATTGTGCGGACGGTTACTCACTATGCAGGTTGTATTGTTAAAACGTGTCACTCTTCCCTTCCAGTATCCGGAGTGTGATGCAGAAGTATCTCGCAGAGAGAAACGAAATAACCTTTGACAAGATTTTCAATCAGAAAATTGGTGAGTCCTGCTTGTTCATTTGGCATACTGTAATTTTAGTGATGAAACTGGGCAATGCTCTGCTAATGTATGAATGTATCCCCCCGATGTGTTATATCCTCTATAGCTGCAGCTGGGAATAAAGGAAATTTCATGTAATTAATAAGGTATTTAATGATGGCTTATATTCCTAGTAACAAGTTCTATGATAAGCTCTTGGGAGATGAGCAGTTCTAGGATTTTTACATGAAATCAGCAGTGCTGAATGGAAGAAAACAGGATACCTCTTTCTTTCCTTGCGTGTTGCCTGCCTCCTGGGGTTACTGAGGTGGTTTGCTGGGGAGCTGTGCGTCATAGTTTTAAAATTATTTTATGGCTGGAGGAAATTACTTCATGAAAATTCCAAGAAATTAAAGTTCCCTAGAACTTAATTTGTGCTGTGTTTCCATGATTGATAGACGTAGACCGATAGATCCCTTCCAGACTGCGTATTCTTCGAGATATTTCTGGGCTTGCCCTTTTGTTTGCTGAGGAGACGTAGACACAGGGAGGTGAAGTGACTTGTTCTGATTCCCACTTCTTTTTTTCTCTGATAATAAAATAATAACCAGTAAATAATGAAATAATTACCAGTAGAAACTGGTGCAGAAAGTCTTTGGAGTTTTGTAAACCACTTTCTCTGGTTTACAAAAATGAGCCTGTCTATGAAGGCGGTCTTCGGCAGGTAGAGATTCTTTGATCACCCATGTAGTACAGCGAGGAAAAGGTGGATGCGGTGATTTGGAAAAGCAGATGACATGTGGTCTGTCTGTGCCCGAGGGCTGCAGTGTGGAAAGCGACTGGTCTTTGCCTGCTCCTCAGGGGTTGGTTGGGGAACAGATGAAAGCGTTTGGCTTTCATATCATTAGTTCTCACGGCTTCTCGTTATTTTCATGGTGTGTGGTTAGCTATGAGCCGCACAGATGTTCTCCGTTGCTTCTGATTTTGTACTAAGAAACAAAATAAAACTCCTGATAACAAGAGAGAGAAACTCTGTATCTCTGGGAGCGGAGGGAAAAGGAATGATTTATCTTTTCATTTGCTAGTTAAAATTTTTTTCAATTTATTTCTTGTGGATTGATTGAGGTGTATTTCATGTGGCATACAACCCACACATTGAAAGTAAACAGTTGAGTGACTTTTGTGTATTCACCGTCATACAACCATCTGCACTATCTAATTTTAGAATGTTTTCATCACCCCAAAAAGAACTTGTACCCATTAGCGGTCCTTCTCCACTCCACCCTCCCTCCGCTCCTGGCAACCACAAATCGGGTTTCTGCCTCCGTGGATTTGCTTATGTTGGACACGCCACAGGACGGGCAGCATACCCTGTGTGGCCTTATGCATCCTCAGCATGAGGCCTTCAAGGTTCATTCTGGTGGTTGCATGGATCAGAACATCAGTCTGCTTTCCTCTTCAGAAACTGCCATTCCAGTTTCTGAAATGCATCGAGGATTCTCCTTTTGTGTTTCCGTTCTTCTCTCTCCCTTCTGTATCTCCTTTCCTGTCTGCAGTCCCCCCAAATATACATACGGCACCCCCAGATGTGTATGTCCCGTTGTTTGGATTAAAGCCTTTCCTGACCCTGGCGCCGGGAGGCTCTGACCCGGGCACCCAGTGGCGTTACTGTGGTCCAGTATCTCAGCTGCAGATTCTTCCCCGAGAGCTGCCTCACTGGGTGCTGATGGGCTGTGAATTTTATCTCCAGCTGTTAAACACTGTTTAAATAAATAATTTCTTCTTTTCTTCCCTTCAATTTGTGAGCTTGGGAACGTCATGGTTACAGGAAAGAACAGTGGCTGGTTGGCAGCTTAGGGAGAGCACACATCACCATCTGTAATTACATGTTGACAGAGCTGTCTTGTGCCGTGGGCCTGGTCTTTGTTTTCTTCTGTAGTAGTCTCACTTTCTGCCTGGTCTCGGGGATTGGGGGACAGTGGAAGGTGGGCCATGGTGGGAGTATATGTGTCTGGCACTCCGGGTCTTCGTTTTCCAGGTTCCACTGTGCCTTCCGTCACTGAGCCCATGCATTCCTGCCTTCCTATTTCCCCTCGCCGTCTTCCATTCCCTCTTCCCTCATTGTTTCGCTGGTTGTCTTGTTCTGTTTCACCCTCTCTCTGCCTCCTTTTCCCTCTTTTATTACCTACCAAGTGTCCCTGACACACAGGATCAACCATAGGACTTGAGGACCGCCCTCCAGTGTGTACTGTGGCCAACCGGTAAAAATCGTTTTCCAGATGAAAACCCTGGTAGTCTTTCATTTACTTGGCCCCTGAGTCTTTGCCGAACTGGCAGATTCTTTGGCTACACCCGGAAGTGGTGGTTCTTTCATTACTTTTCAACCATAATAGGAGGGATAATAATGGTTCTGAACCATGAGGCTGTTGAGAGGATTGAGCTGGTGGTGCGCAGGAAGCCCTTAACATGACGATTGGCTCTCAGCAGATGCTCACTGAATGGCAGCTCTTAAATGAAATTGTTTATGTTAAAAACAACTAGACTAGAATAATTACCCCATATGTATGTATATGTATGTGTGTGTGTATATATACATATACACACATATGTTTGCATCACCTACATTTGATCTGTTTCACCGTTTTGCCAGACATTGTTTTCCCATCTCCTCTTTTTTTGTGGTTGCTGAAGTAATGAACAAAGTAGCCACAACATTTAGTTCTATGTGCATCTCTAAAAAGTATGCATGCTTTCTTATACAACCACAATTCCTTTACCCCAAACATGTAATTTACCATGATTCTTAGTGTACCCTAATACCGAGTTTATTGTTAGATTTCTCTGATTGTCTTACTTTTCTTTTTTTACTCTCGATTTGAATCAACATTCAAATACTGTTCTTGTAATTGGCGATAATATTTCTTGTAATCTAGAACAGTTCCCCTGCATTGCCCCCCCTCCCACATGCACAGGTAATTGACTTACGGAAGAAACTGAGTCCAGTGTGTTGCAGAATGTTCCACATTCTGGACTTTTCTTTCTGTTTCTTAATGATATCATTTTAAACATTAAAACATTTCTTTTTTTTAACTTATGTTTTGGGACAGAGTCTCGCTCTGTCACTCAGCCTGGAATGCAGTGGCATCATCTCTGCTCACTGCAACGTCCACCTCCAGGTTCAAGCAGTTCTCGTGCCTCAGCCTCCTGAGTAGCTGGGATTTCAGGTGTGTACCACCACACCCAGCTAATTTTGCAGGGCTTTGGTGAGTCATGATTGCACCACTGCATTCCAGCTTGGACAACAGAGCAAGACTCTGTCTCAAAAACCAACCCTCAAAATGCAAAACAAGTATATGCCATTCACCCATTGGAAATGTATTGTTTGATGATTTTGGTAAATTTCTATAGCGGTACAACCGTTACCACAATACAATTTACAAACATTTCCACGCCTCCAAAAGATCCTTCCTGCCCGTTTGTTGTTACTCTGCTCCCGTCCTCAGCCCCAGACGAAACACTCATCTGCCTGTCTCTCTCCATCTGCCTTTTCTAGACATTTCATAAAAATGGAATTACACAGTATAAAGTTGGTAATCTCTTGTGTCTGGCTTCTTTAACTTAGCATAAGGTTTTTGAAGTTAATCCATGTTGCTGTATCTGTACATCATTCCTTTTTGCTGCTAAATAGCATTCCATATCATGGACAGAGCACACTTTTTTTTTTCTCTTTTTCTTTTCTTTTCTTTTTGAGACAGAGCCTTGCTCTGTTACCCAAGCTGGAAGCTGGAGTGCAGTGGCGTAATCTCTCTGCTCACTGCAACCTCCACCTCCTGGGTCCAAATAAGTCACATGGCTCAGCCTCCTGAGTAGCTGGAACTGCAGGAGCATGCCATCACGCCCAGCTAATTTCTGTATTTTTAGTAGAGACGAAGTCTCACTATGTTGCCCCAGGCTGGTCTCGAACTCCTGACCTCAAGCGATACACCGCCTCAGCCTCCCGAAGTGCTGGATTACTGGTGTGAGCCACAGTACAGTACCCAGCCTGCAGAGCACACTTTGTTCATTCAGCAGTTGATGGGCATTTGGATATTTCCATTTTTTGCCTGGTATGAGCAATGCTACTATAAACATTTGTGTACAAGTATTTTATGGACATATGTTTTTATTTCTCGAGTCTTTGTGTAGGAGTAGAATTACTGGGTTGTATGGCAAATTCGTGTTTAACTTTTTAAGAAATTACCAAATTGCTTTCCAAAGTGGCTGTACCATTTTACATTCCCACCATCAATTTATGAGCATTCCAGGTTTAGCATATCCTCATCAACACTTGTTATCTTTTTAAAAATTCTATCCATCTGAATGGATGGGAAGTGGTGTCTTATTGTGGTCTTGATTTGTATTTCTCTAATCGTTAATGATATTAAACATGTTTATGCAAACTAGTTATTTATATATCTCCTTTAGTGAAATTTCTATTTAAATCTTTTACCCATCCTGAAAGTTGGACTGTCTTCATCTACGCTATTCGTTGTTTATGTATGTTTTACAAATATCTTCCTCTGGTTGGTGGCTGGAATCCAGTCTCTGTTTCATTTTCCTAATGGTGACTTTGGAAGCACAGGTTTTGATTTTGAAGTCCAATTTATACATCTTTTTCTTTTATGACTCAAACTTTGGTGTCATATTTAAGAGCTTTTTGCCTACCAAATTCACAAAGGTTTTCCTGTTTTTCTTCTGGCAGTTTTATTGTTTTAGCTCTTATATTTTGGTCTGTGGAAGATTTTGAGTAAATTTTTGCCTATGGTGAAAGGCAAGGCCCAAGTGTTTCTTTTTGGCATGTGGATATTTGACCTAGTGTTTCTCATTAAATTTATTCCTACGTATTTTAATATTTTTGGTGCTATCGTGAATGTAATTGTTTTCTTTATTTTCATTTTGGTTGTTCATTGCTAGTATATGGAAATAGAATGAATTTTTGTGTAGTGATCTTGTATCTGGTGATCTTCCTGAACTAGCTTCTT